TATTTATACTTCGATTATTGTGCGACATTACTAGTCATCATTAGGGATCGGTTTCTCAGTGCAAGTTTAAACTTAGATCACGTAAACTGCGTTTATCTTGAACCGATGGCTGACATTTGATTGGCTAATCTTAGTTTAAACCAGCCAGCGCGAGCATTTAGACTAAGTTAAAACCATAGCCGTGCACTGGAAAATTGTTTCGAAGTTAAAAGTTCTTTTTCTTGTACTGAAATTCAATATTTGTAAAATTATTTCGTCCTAAATTATTGAATAACATTAAAACACTGAGAGTAAAGGCTTAAATGCAAATCATACAAAAATTGATGAGCACTAATCCGATTTCCTTAAAGTATGTAAGTATTTTGGGCCAAAAAAGAAAATGTGCCCTCACTCTGGGTAGCGCAAATTTCAACTAGGATTGGAGATTAGTTGCTTACTCATCCTCCATCTAATTTCCTATGAGATAAGCCTGGCCCATAGGAGAGATATTCTGTCTTTTCTCTATTCCAGTACAGGGTGTACCTTTAAGAAACTCCATCTAGCAAACTATACATAGCAGACGCTGGTCGAAATCAGGATGTTGCGTAGAGAAGTCAACCCTCAAATTAGGTAGAATTCTACCTATGTATGCATGCAAATATCTCGATTAAAAGCAAAAAGGAAAGGTTAATTTATAGCCTTTTACCTGAGAAAGATTGTCCAAGAAGTAATAAGTATTCTAGTTGTGCAAAAACCCCAGTAATTCATATAATCATAGTTAAATTTCTTGATATTCTTTGTTCAAGTGGTTTGATGGGTTTTGGAAGGGGTATGGAGAGGGTATTTGGAATGCACACGCTCCTTGTGGAAGGCTATTCTAAGTAGGGTGCCAGGACCGCTGGGACAATAGTTTCAACGGCCGGGTGACCTATGAGTATATTCGTGACGTTAACTTTGTCCGTGAAACTCCGGATTTCAGATTTTGTCTAAGTCTGGGTTTTCTTCTGACCGGACATGGGCCATTCAATGCGTTCTTGCATGGATGGAATCTTCACGATTCGGAAAGTTGTGCATGTGGTGCGAAAAGCGAGGATGCCGGACAATTTGTCTGTGAATGCCCGATGCACTCTGACATTAGGGATTTATCTGTGATGGGGATTAGATGAACTGACGGACGGTTTATTTTTGACAATGTTCTCTTTTCGAGCCAGTATTTTGAAAGTCTGGGGGTATTTGCACGAGAGGTGTTTAGGCGGAGAAGGCGTGCCACCAGTTGAGGGGGTAAATGGTAGTAGTTACGGCTATGAGGTCTGACCGGAGACTTAATTTTGTTACCACGGAGAACAGGAGCCCCCAGAGTTTACTTTGGCCTGTTCTTGGGTACCGCCCCTCGGGGAGTATCATGGTGGTTATGGTTTAAATACCACCCAAATGCGGGTAGAGTTGACGTTTTGTTGACTCGATGTGGAGTTACATTACAACCGGGTGCCGGATCCGTAGTACGGCAGAGGTTTAGTTAATTTCTCGGGCAATCTTGTAGCTTGCTGAGTACCTATTGGCACAGCTTTCACCGCTTCAATAAACAGCAATGCCCAATTATTTTTTGTTAACATGTTTAGTTATTCCATTTTTAAATTTCTACAGGTCTATCGCATTATAATCTACAAAATTGATTTAAATTTTTTGTGCACCACAAATTATGCACAATAAAACAAAAAACACAATTTATATAAATATATATTTACATAAATGTGCCATTCACCTCATTAAATACTTTAACAGATGCTGGTAAATATGTACATACTTAAAAAAGTAAAATTTGCAAACAAACATAAACTCATACATATTTATAAAATGTAAACACATATTTAACTACATATGTACATACTTACGTACATGTTTGTATTTGGAATTACTGTCAAACGCCTGTCTAGCGATCTGTGCATTTCAAGTGGCAAAGGTAAATATTGAATTTAACGAGTTCCGATTGTAGTTTATTTTGAATTCCACTGTCATAAAAAGCTGCACTTAACAAATACACGCATCGCCATTTCTACGTACATATGTACATAGGTGTGTATGTTTTATTATTCCACAGCACGCGAATTAATGTGTCAAATTGCAAATATTTTAACTGCTTTCCCTAAGCACACGCACACAGAAGCACCTAAAAGTCTGTATATTAGGGTTCATAAGCTCATTTTGGCTTAAAATTTTAAATTGAAGACGCATCTACATAGACGTAAATTCTAATTCTAATTCTATCTGAGCTCTATGATAGGAACTGAGTCGACTTACCCACGGCTTTGATTCAAAACAACGCCTTTGAAAAGGGGCACATATTAACCTAAAATTACACCACAATCAAGCTCTCTGACTTGGAAGAAATCTCTTTAAGAGCAGCGTACTTAACCAAACTGAATTACTGATGTATTTACAAAATATATCTTGATTTAATTTTTTTCTTTAAGAGCCCTTTCATCGCATTCACACTAGTTGTAGTCTATGGTAAGAGAAACTACTTAGGTCGAACACTTAATAAAACACGAAATACTTGATATCAGCTCCATTTAAAAAATACATGCCCTTCATAGCAAATGGACAATAAAAGAGCCTCTACTATCTAAAATCCCTACCACTCCCCAGTACTTACTACACGACAGCGTATCCAAGATATTTTTCTTCAAAAATAAGTATATTTGCTTCAAGCAAAAATCCCCCAATCAAATAACGACAGCCCTTATGTTTTTTCCCAGTAGCGAAAATGGTCACCGGTGACATCGTCACTAATGAGGATTTAGTGAGCGACATATAGCTGACAATGACACTGGTGACAATGTCATGCAGATGTACTCCTATCAAAGACTTATAACAGACAATGTCTTGCAGCGGTCACTTATAAAAAGTCCATTGCAAGATATTGTCGCTTGAATGTCATTAATGATCATTGCATGACCAAGTCATGCAGAGGACATCAACGACGAAATTACCATTTATATGAAAAAGTCATGAACGACTTCCATACAAACGGAGCCCAAAGCTATTTAAGACGTAACTTTTCCGTACAAAACTCTTAAGTGACTAATGCATGACATTCGCTACGGGGTTGTTTTTGATTCTTTGTTTCATTTGTATGTACATTGTACATATTTACCTTTTTAGGATACTTACGATTTTTAGTTTTTTCATAGCTTTTTATTTGGCATAAAATTTATTTCAATATCGTTTCACACACCAATGCTACCAACTTAAAGATAGGCGATGCCAATTTTATACCCTATTGAACTTGTCCCGATAAAAAAAAAATTGTTTGCCCAAAAAATTAGCATTCATTGCTATCGAGTAGCGTTAAGTTGTGCAATATGAACGAGTTTATACAGACATAAACATACATGCTTCATGTTTACAAAAGCACAATTTCACGTACTTCTAAATGTCGGTTACGTTATTTTGGCGGTTAGGGCTCGATATATTTTACAATGAAAATAAGAGGCATTTTTTATTTTATTTTACCGTTTTCTCTCAAAAATAAATAAGAAAACATGTGAATTCTCTATTCAATTACCGGAAATAAGTACTTGTAATTATGTACATTTGTCTACAATCATTGTGAAAAATAATTGATTTTTTTTTTTGTTGATGATACAAAGCTACACGTGTAAAAAGTGACGTTAAGCTTATTCGCCCGGCTTGGTGCCGCAGTGATCACTACTCATAGAGTCTACAAATTACAGATAGATAACAGATTATTGAACTGCTGCCAGAAGGCGACCCTAACCACTTTTCCAGATATTTTGTATCCGAACCCGCTATACATATGTACATGTTTCGATGGCAAGGCTGAAGCATTAATAAGTCCACTTTCGTAGATACGAGGGTAACCCTGAAAGTTTCCGAAAAAAAAACATAGAAAAAATAAACATTTTATTCAAAATTTTCTCTATAAATAATGGTTTTGAATGAATTATGCCTACGCAAACATGTCTTGGATAGCGTAGCAGGAGTTGAACTGATGAGGCTTATTTTTTAAGCGCCGCCGATGGCCGCCAACCCGGAAAGGTACTATGCGCAAAAATACTGTGGGTAGCGTAACCCGAGTTTACATTTTCGCTATGAAAATGATAACTTTACCCCATTTCCAAATGGGTTCCCTGCCTTGGAGTTGTCAGAGAGGGGAAGGGCAACTTTCCTTACCGTTTGGACTGTACTCTTTTTAATAGAAGGGGTTTTAGGTGCCGCACCCTCACCCCCTCCGACCACACCACAAAACCCTTGTGCAAATTACCGAACATTTCCCAATTAGTTTTTTGATTGCGGCCTAATTTCACTGAGGATGGTCCTCTGCAATACCGTCACAATTCAAATTAAAAAAAAAAAAAATGTTAAGTGGCTCCGTGAATTATGGCCACGTGTATTAAGACCGCAATCAAAAAGACGGAAATTTGGCGGCGTGGACATAATTCATTTCAATAAGTGCAATTAGGCCCCAATCCCATAATGAAACTAGCCTCGCGGTTTCGATTTACATATAGTGATTCATTGAATTATGCCCACGCGGCCTAATTTCCATTTTTTTGATTGCGGTCT